ACAATGTGTTTATAATTATAAAGTGGTGTGAAGAAAAAAGAGTTCTAAGATTGAAAGGTTGTGTGTAGAGCGTTTTATTAAAAATGTTATCATCTTACAAACAGTTTTTTTTTATAAAAGTCTATGAAGATAATTTTGGCAGTGCGGTAAAACTGTCACTTTACACTCGTCTGTGCGTAAAATGCTCAGGCGACTGTAAATACAGTCTTTCAATAGGTGTCAATTGTACGTTAATTTGACATTTACATGTCAGGAGGCCAAAAAGAAAATTAATTTATGTAACAACCGGAGGCAACCGAGTTGGATCAACGCACTGACCTGCGACAAGCTGGCATCGTATTGGAGCACCAACCCTCCGAAAACCACCATCAGAAACCCGAAAATAAACTGGAGCAACCCCAGACACAACAAGGATCCATCGTCACCCCCCACGATGATTTTCTCCAAAGATTTAACCGAACTGTTGGATTCTTGTGGAGATTTGCAGATGAGTTGATCGGTGGATAATTTTGATGAAACCGTATTTATCGAATTTTTATTGTCCGTGTTTTCGTCACTTTTCTGTATTTCCGTCATTTTTACACAATTTTGTTCTACTTAAGTAATTTTCACATCATTGTTTGTTGATGTTACATTAGACCACTGATCGGTTCACATAATAGTCGGGTTTTAAACGCGCGCGTTGAGGATCGGCCTGCGACTGTCTTAAGAGCAAGATTTTGCTTTGTTATGTCTGCTCTCTTCATCTATCAGTGGTGAAAGCTAATACCTGCGAGTTCAATTGGGGACATCGAAGACCACCACTTTTTTTCATCTTCAATTATCTGCAATTTCTATTAGTAAATCATCGATTATTGAACTCTAAGCAAAAATTTGATGATTCGTGCTGGTGCTGTGAAATTGCGTTATTTTGTAATATTTCATGGAACTAATCCTATTTTAACTGGCATTACGATTTCATCGCGGTTAGGAAGTGACAACCGTTTTCATCAAGACGAATTATTTGATTTCAATTTTTGGAAACCAAAAAGTCAGCTAGGACTACAATTTAAGAGTAGAAAAATGTATTTTTAATTGTCTTTTAATAAAAGAGTTAAGGATTTGTGGCAATTTGTGTATAACTTTACATCAGTCATGGTACTAACTAAAATCTGATAAATATTTTTTTCTACAATCTACAACTGTAAAATAAGTTTTTTCATGTTAATTTCGAAAGTAAAGTGTCCAATTACCTCCTTCATTTGTCAAAATTACAATAAAAATATAGTAAAACCTATCAGGGAGGTAAAAATTTTACCTCCCCCATAGAAACTGAAAAACATACAAAAAGATTTAATGGTAAAACTGGAGAAATTGTTAGTTTTGAAGTTTTTCTTGCTGGATCGTAGGAAAAATTATATGTATTACACTGGAGGAAGGTGCCTTTTCCTCCCAGGGTGGTTACTGTCTTCAACAAGTCTCGGTATTATTTAAGCTTTCCATTGGTCTAGTATTTTTGGTTTTACTTACTATTTATTTTAAAATAAATGTCGCAGTCGGTGAGGGTTTTTTTACGTTTTTTCTTCGAAATTATACATAACAAAAAGATGAAGTCTTAAAAGTAGTCGTATTTTTGAAGCTTAGATATTTATTGTTTGCGGGTGACATAATCTCGTATTATTTTTTTAAGTTTTTGTGATCAAACTTTTATTGTTGATTTAGACCGCATTGCATCACTGACAAAGAGAAATCTTCTGCATAGACAATTTGCGAACGTTTATGCTTGAGGAATAATAATGTCACTTCATTATCTATGTTTGTTGTCTTAGGAATAGTAACTTAAATTCAAGTCACACTTAATTTTGCAATTTATTTAGAGAAAATTTACTTAATAAACCTAGTTTTAGCGATACACAAGCTTTCATTTAACCATGCAGATAATCGTGTTAAAAGTAGACGGTTTTCGACGATTATTCTATTACGAAATGCATAAATTATTTCCTGTAATAATTTGTTCCGAAACGAATTTATTTCACTTCGAAGGTTTAATTCAAATGAAACGGAATTTGAAATTTAACAGGATTTATTACAAGTTCTTTGAACGATTTTTGGAAAAGGCAACACGACACGGAATTATTTTCTAAAGTTTTTACTTGTATGAAATTGGTCAACCATTACTTATTTACCACCTTCATGCTTGCTCATTTCCTCGCTAATTAGGTCTTCCCGGTCATTTGGTTGATGACAGTGCCAGAGGGCAAAAAAACAGTTTATGTCTATCCAATTAAATCCATCCTTTTGCGAGAAATATCGACATTGATACAGCCAACTTATTGTCATCATTTCAAAATTAAACAATCTTCAAGTCAATTTAATTACTCAACTCTAGCATTTAGGCGTTTAAACACCGTTAATGTCCTTCGCATGCTTTTGTCTTGCCATCAGTTACTCAAGGAGTGCCTGCAGGTGTTTGAAATAGTCCTAAAATCTGCTGTTTGTATATGAAAATAAAAGTTGTTTGCTTTTGTCAAATCCTTTCGAATTTTTTGTCGCCATTTATCACTTGTCGCAGGAATGTCACCACGTGAGTTACAGACACGTGCATCGTGGAACACATGTCTTTGCATATTACAATAAATACTTTCACTGTCGTTATGCAGCACGCCTGCATTTTTCTAGTAGGAAATATGGAATTACAATAACTTCGAAAGTGGTAACTGTAAACGACGTTTTTGTTGTAAAAAACGTTTCACTGGTGACGGAATGAATAAAATATAAGAAACGGTTACCTCGAAACACATATACATAAATGATTCGATTCGTGTAGCATACTCGCCGAAGCTATGACCACTTGTTTTCTTCTGGACGTTAATTAAAAAAATGAGAGAAAGTCAATGGAAACGGGTTTTCGGATGGAATTTCACTTTTGATGACCGTTTTGATAAATCGAGATTGATAGCAAGAGAAAAATATTTTCCGATGTTTTACATAGACAATTATCAAGTGGGGTTATTACGCTGGTTATTAACCAGAACGGATTATTCCGACTAATTGCAGTTATGCACAGGTTGTGTTTATGGAAAATAGTTCGGTGAGATTATTACAGGACGTGACGAACGACGATTTAATTACAATGTTGTGCAAGAAATCCTTTTTGAGGAAAGAAATGAAGAGAATTCTGGATTAGATTAAAGAGAGAGTTATTGAGGAAGTTTATCGCCACTTTTCAATTCATAAATGCACAGTTGCAATTTTTATTGCATCTATATTAGGACAAGTGATATTTTATTAGATTCTCGAAGCGACTTAGGCTTGGCTTAATGAAGTCCATGGGCATTCACCCGCATTGGCTTAAAAGGCAGTCAACTTTTTAAACACTCGACTATTGCAATTTATTTATTTGTATTCAGTATTATATAACGCAAGGTCTGATACTACATAATTATTAAATTACAAAATTATGTGGGAATCATCTTCCGAGGCGTTAATGTATTTTAATTTCTATTGTGCTACAGTTAGTAATTGCTATGAAAAATGTTGAGCAAAGTGAATAGTCGTATAATTTTCTGCTTAGTCGCTTTGTTATATTACTAGAATTTCTTTGAGCAAATTAGAAAATATGTTTGTAATGATGATAAGATTTTTTTCTTTTAATTCAAACAATTTCGCTATAATTTAAAAATCTGAATTGCATGAAATGTGAATAACTGTGAAAAAAATAAAAATAAAGTGAAAGAATACTACTCAAATAAAATAAAAGTGAAATAAAAAAATCAAATAATTGTATAAAGTAGCAATTTTAGAGTGAAGATTGTAGGTACACTTAACGATATCAACATACTCTATTTTCATTAAGTAGGTCTATATAAAGCAGTGATTATAATGTTAAACATTAATCGAAATGTTTTGTTTCGTAATCTTAAACCTAGTGTGAGTTTTTGGATTGGAAAATACAACAATTGGTAAATATTCGTTTTTTGTTGATGTTAAAACATGTAGTTTTTTAAAGGAATAAAATCACCAAAGATAAACAAAGAAATTGAATTTTGCGCTTTTAATGTTGGAATAACGTACATTATAAATATATAAATTTACGAGTAAACTGATTTTGCTAGCTTTACTTCTTGCTAATTTTAATGTTTTCATGGTATGTATGTATTTAAAAAATTAAAATTCATAAAATATCTAAACGAGAATTTGAAAAGCATGTACCTACATAATTAAATATAAAAGATATTTAATTGGAATTAGATATGCAATAAACAAGGTAATAGAATTTATACAGCCAGCAATATTGAAGCACCTAACTCTAGGTATACTGTTATATCTAGAAAGTAAGAATTCAAGTTTAAATAATTATTACTCCTATAAATTAATGCAACCAGCAGTACATTGATATTATTTGTTGTTCGAATGTGGCATGTTAGTTTTGGACCACTTGGTATAACTATAGAAGCGTTGGGTCAACACTTTATTGTATTTATGAGTGTAACAACGACATAAACGATGACTGCTTGTTTTAAAAGATTTTTCTTTTTATTATTAATTTGGTTTATTAGAGACTCTTTTTACATTTTTTTTAATGTAAAATGTTTTGATCGATTGATTAATAACAGTGAAACAGTGGAACCACCTGTATGTTTTAATTTTTTTTAAGTAATTTATGGCTGCTGTAGGTATATTTAGTTTTTCTGTTTACAACTATGTACCTATTTTTTTGAAATATTTTTTTTATTATTGACAGGAAGCAAAATGCTTCCTACACCCCTTGAAGGTCTTTTAATAAGTTTTCCGAATATGTATTTTAGAAACCATCTTAGATAAAATTATAAAATTTGGTACAGGTTTTATTCAAAGATCAAATGTCAAGTGGTGGGTATACGATATGGTGAAAAGTATCCTAACAATTTTGGCTGTAGCTTCTTGCCATTTTCAACAACAAATTTCATAGTTTCTTAAAAATGTCTCTTGCGTTGTTTTGATATAACTTACCGTTTTTAAGTAAAATCAATTTAAAATTTATGTTAGAGATTATAAACAGCTTTAAAATTAAACTCTTTTTACCTTATACCCCCTAATTTAGGACGCCTCTAACTAAAAAAAATCGACATTTGATTTTTGTATTCGTTTAGGTGTAAAGTCTGTCTATATTTTCTTGAATTTTATGGTGCAATATGGAGGCAATTGACTTTTTGGGTCTTCAGCGATTAAGAAACCCCAATCCTTCAATTGTTTCCTTCGAGATTGCTTCAACGGCCAGCTGGTTGCTTTGGCAAGTCAAAACTATAAAATCCAAGCAAATATAGGCAGATTTTATAAAGGTTATCACCTGCATCAAGTTTTGTAATTTTATTTGAAATGGATTCTGAAATATTGGGCTAAACTCTTTTAGGGAATGTAACTCCCTTACATTTTTCAATACATATTCATAGGAAATTTTTGTCTTAAAATTGAATATTTTATCACCTGCTTAAAATTGTGACAATAAAAACAGCCTGTTTAACACATTAAAAAAACAATGATGTTTATTTATTTTGAATGGTATTTTTATTTGTTTTTTACATAATACAATATTTTTATTTTACTTTGGTAAGTCGTTTACGTTTTCCTTGATGAAATCGATAAAATTGCTAACCCTGGTATAAACGGAGGGTGCTTTTTCCGACCCACATGGTGTGAAACCCCACGAAACAATCCCTATAACAGTACCATTCTGAGCCAATGGGCCACCACTGTCACCTGAACAGGCCCCCTCGCCATTAGATTTTGAGTGAGTGCAAATGTTTGATACTTCTGAAAGAGGATTTGCTTCACCGTCCAAAAGAGCATCAATTGCCGTTTTACAATCTGTAATCAAACAAAATTTAGAAAATTGCAAACAAAATGTTTAAGTCACTTCTGCTCATACCAGTATACTCTAAGATTGGGATAGTAACAGTTTGCAAATGGTTGGGCAAAACTGGGATAACTGTGGTAGAAGTAGACCCCCAACCCGTCAAAACTGAATCTCCGGAAGGCACCGAATCGGCTTCAGGTAAAACCACCGGTTTTACCAAATCGCCGAATTCCAACGGTTTCGCTAATTTAAGAAGAGCAACGTCGTTGGGACCTACACCTCCTGTAAAATTTGGATGGACGATTTTCTCCACGACTTGAATTTCTTGTCTTTCGTTGTTCTTTTCGTTCAGTTCGGTTATTCCAGCTACAATTTTATGTTCACCTATTTCAGGGACTTGAGTAACACAGTGGCCAGCTGTGAGAATGAATGTGGGGGAGATGATGGAGCCTCCACAGACGTGTTCGTAAACACCAAGGATTCCCCATTGGTATGAGATTTGGTAGGGGTACTGGCCTTCGGTGGCATCGTCGCCATGGATGACGCGAACACTAGGTTGGAAGAAACTACGACGGCCGATTTTAGGACCCGGGGAGGGTTTACCTAAACAAAAATTAAAATTATAAATGGGATTGGAGGTATGCTTGGTACTTACCCGAAGCAAGAGCAATGGTAACGACCAGCAAGAAAAATAGTTTCATTGTGAGGTGCATTATATTGTCTGGATTAGAGTTTAGACACTTATATAGATTTTTGGAGTTGATGAAATCTGATTTTTATCTGATTCCTATTGAACTATAATCAATATTTTGTGCTCGAGTATTAATGGTATTGTTAAAAAGTGGATACTCTTGAAGATAATAATTATCTTTTTTAAAGGTAGTCAGGAAATATCTTACTCAAATTAAATTTTGCTGTTTATTTCGGAAAAATTGCTAGTTTAAGTTTTAATTAGAGCCAAATAAGATAAAAGATAAAATTATAATTTTAAAAATTTATTGGACGGCTTATACAAAATGTTCTTACAACAAAAATTCTAATAAAATAATTTCTTAACTAAAAGATCACATTTCGTAACACTAAAATACTTCTGAATTAGACTTGTGAGGTATACTTAATTACTTTATAAAATTCGTCATTTTGTCACTCTCTAAAATCATATTGATCTGTACTTATCACAATCACTATTAATTATCACTATTTTGTATCGAAATCGATTCAGATTTTCCCGAATATCGTTTCAAGAGTTCATTCAATTCGAAATAAGTTTCACAATAAATAAAGTCTTTTGGTTGAACACCTTGAAAAGTACTTATGACACTTGGTTTCAAATTGTAGAACAAAATCGGTTGCTTCCTTTTATGAAAATCTTCAATTAGCGACTTGATACCTCTCGCTGCTGTAAAATCAGCACCCTGTATATGTCTCGCGTCTATAACAACGGGAATTGAACTCGAGCCTTGTTTAACTCCGGCTTTAGAGACCACAGTTCTGACATATTCGACTGAGGGAAAAGTCAGACTTCGGTCGGGGGTAATTAGGAGGTAGTCGCATCCCGAGTAGGCCTAAAATGAAATGTTTTCACTTAAATTTAACATTTTTTAAACTTACCGAGACTTTTTCCACATGAACTGAAGGCCGTGCTGTTGCATACAGAAGGAAAATTAAATTTATCCCAACTCCGACAACAATTCCGATTTCTAGACGTAAAAACAGACAACAAACGAATGTGGTACAGGCGGGGATTAAATCCGATTCTGCGAAAAACCGTTTAGGAGTGTTTAAAAGTTGTGTTGACTTACTTTTAGTCCGCCAAATTGGCTTGATGACGTGAAACTCAACCATAAACACTACCGCAGCTATGATGACAGCAGCTAAGGAAGCTTTGGGAATATAAGAGAAATAAGGAGTGAAGAGATGTAAGGATAGAATTACAATAATTCCAGTGTAGATCCCACCAAAAGTCGTTTTTACCCCACTAGCGTGATTGACAGCCCCCCGTGACAACGCCCCCGAGACAGGCATCGACTGGACGAAAGAACTCGCAATGTTGCAAATTCCCAAAGCTAACATTTCTTGCGTTGCGTCGATCGTTTTTCCATCAGCTGAAAAAAAAATTAATTTTCTCGCTTTGGGTTTTCCCAGACTCACCAAACACTTTAGCCAAGGCGATGTTTTCCAAAATTGACAATAAGGGCACCACAAGAAGTGCCGATCCGAGAGTCGAAGACATATCTATGAAATTGTAAGTGGTGTTGTCAATTTGCATTTCGAAGGGGGGTGGCTTAAACTCCGGGAGTCCGGGTTTAATGAATCCGGTGAGGATGAAAGGCTGTGAACCGTGCACTTCAAAGAAGTAGGCAAGAAGGGCCGACATAACAACCACGAGGATGTTACGCGCGGTTGAAATCAACCATATGAATTTGGTGGCGATATCGTGGATAGGGCGGCGTTCCTTGACATCCTGAGGGCCGATTTTGAAGTCTTTGATACTCTGGAAAAGAAAGGATATTATAGAGTAATTGTAGTTATAGAGCAACCACGTGGGATATTTTTAAAGTTTCAAGGCAATTTGACAAAGACATTATGATGTACTGACATAAAAACAATGAAAGTAGAAAAAAATTGGAAAAATTTTATGGTCACATTTGAACAAAAGTTGTAGTCTGAACTTATTCAGATCGTAAAAAGCAGCTATAAAATTCTCAGTATTTGAAAAATATTTACATAATTTTATGCACTGTTTTTGATCAAGATATTAAAAGCAGTAAAAAATTCAAATATGCAATAATTATTAAGTTTGGGTTAGACGTAGTATTTTATTACTATTGTTATAGAACAAAATGACTTGACTAATTTATTGGATAATTAAGGTATTGTGTGTTGACTTTTTTTGCAAATAAGTAAATTCATCCTATCTACAGAGGTGTTCCAGCTAACATTTGATTGATTGTTCGTATTTCTGCTATTATTTGTTTTCGTTAATTATGAGTACAGGAGTACTCTTTTTCATATAGTGTAATGTATTCTTAGTAAAATGGTTTATGTAAGATTGTTTCTTGAATGAAATTTTTTAATTACATTTCTTTCACTTCAAGGAAATCCCTCGAGCGATCATTTTAAATATTTTGAAGTAACATTACAATAATTCAAGGTAACACCAAGTGCTCACTTAACTTCTTTTTTTCGAAAATATCAAATTAAAATATTTTCATTGCAAAAAAGCAACTTTTTTGTATGTGTACTATTTCTCAATAAGAAAAAGATCGCATGCAACAATCGCTAATAATCAAGAATAAATGCATATAATAAAAGCTTCATTTTTATTTCCCCGCCCCACCACAAAAAAGCTGTTAAGTATACATGTAAAAGTCATTTAACAATTTTTTCAAAAAAAGGAAAAAAAATTATCCGTTCACTTTGAAGGCCACTTACCCTCAAAATCAGCAACACAGCCATGCAAGATAGCCCTAGAATACAGTCCCAGAGTCTGGTTTCCGTGATATGCTGGAAAATTTGTTCCCAAACTTGCAGAAAGTTTCCTCCTGGATAATCCAGACCTAATACGTCTTTGACTTGGGTTGTTGCAATGATGATGGCAGCCGCTGATGTGAAACCAATGGAAACCGGACCTGAGATGAAATCGATCAAAAAACCCAATTGGAGGAGTCCCATGAGGAATTCCACACAACCGCTGAGGAAACATAAAAGGACGGCACCACTGACACCCATGCCATGGGTGTTTTCACGGGTGAGGAGTCCAGCGATGGCTGTGGGTCCGATGGGGGATTCTCTGCAGCTGCCGAAAACGGTATAAACAAAGCAGGCCATGAAAGAGGAGTAAAGGCCTGCAAAAAATTAACAGTGTTAAAGTTCAATAGTGAATCATCAAATATTTTTATTAATATAAATATTATAAACAATTAAAAATTTGCGCTTCGCTAGATTTATATTGGATTTAATTATCAAGAGTTTAAAGATTTAAATATAAATTGAAATGTTATTTTAGGCCGTTTGACCTTAGCTTACTCAATAAAATCTACGTTTTAAAAAATTGCTAACGACGTAATCCTCCGGAAGACATTTCTCTATTCCTTACTACCACAGTAAAAGGATAGAGAAATGTTTTTTATTTTATATGAATTAAAAATTGTTAAGCAAGTTTGTCAAAAGTCACCTGTCTAACACAATTCTAATACCAATGTTTTTTGTGGGCTACATTGAAGTTTTTTAAACATTTCTTTAAATTAGTGTCAGTGATCTTTTATAAGAACAAATTATTAAACAAATTTTACTAGCGTATTTAAAACAAAATAAAGGCAAAAACTTTAAATTTTGTACTTTTAATCGTAGTTGTTAGTACTAATTTCAAAAAAATAAATTATAAGAGTCACACCAGATGTTCTAGCAGAGGAAAGCAGGTAAAAACGATCATTTGGGTCAACACCAATGTTTCTAAGTCCCATATTGTTTTTATTTGATCTTTACGATGGCATAAATTTTAATTACATGAAATCTAGTGCAAGATAATTTGCTAGTAATTCAAACATTTGAAAGACGGCAAAGACTTCTTTTTTTGGATAACATAAATTGCCAACCAACCTATTTGTGGTGGTAACCCTGCCACATTCGAATAAGCAATTCCCTGGGGTATCACCGTAAGCCCCACCGTCAACCCTGCAACCAAATCAGCGACGGCCGTGCTGATATTATATTTGGGCAGCCATCTTAAAATGGGCACCCTCTTGTAGACTAACTTCCTGGTACAACTCCTTCTCGCACGATTCTTCAACCATTTCGTAAAATCAGACGAAGAAGTTTTTCGTTCTTGTGATAGATCAAGAACGGTAATTCCCTTGGTGTCTTTCTCATCAAGATTTTCCCCAATCATGTAGGAAGTCAGGGTGACTTGACTCCCGGTAGTAGAGTTAGTGTCGTTCATGTTGTATTTGGTCATCATGCATTCCCAAGGTCATGGGTTGTTGTTGACATTCGGCTTAATTATTATTTGTGAGATTTAATTTCGGCATCTTCTGAAAAAAAAATTAGAATGTCATTGTGGTTCCCCTCAGTGGAAAAGATGAATTATTTATGGCTAGCTAGGGATACTAATATCACGGCCAATGTTAACTGTTAGTTATGTAACTGTAGCTGATGCAATACACGTTCTAATTGGGGTTTAGAAGATCGGGTTTAGGTAACTTTTGAGTGGGGGTAAAACGTGATAATGTAATCCAAGTCGAGCGAAAATTCAAAAAAATCGAAATTACTTTAACATTGCATTTGCATGATTGAAGTGAAAGTGAATTAAATGAATAAGTTTTTTTGTTTTTTTTGTCCAACATGGGAGTTTTAGCTAATAGGAGAATTAGGTCTAAGAGACATTTTTTTCTAGAGAAATTTTGTTCCAATGTTTATTACGGATAAGACACGTTTTGCAATACGTGAAGTCCGCCAAGTTTAGTTTTTGACATGTCTATTCCGGTTATTGAACCCTAGCAAATTTGTTTCAAAACTATTCTAGTCTAAACGAATTCAAAAAATTCATTTTTCCGGTATTTAGGTTAAAGCGACGCGACAAGGTCGCACATTTCATTGTTTTACACTAATTGAATATTGCTTGGAATTAATTGGGTTTAGAAAAGACGTGACTTTCACCGGATTGAACTTTCGATCAAATTTAATTACCATAACTGAAGTAATTGAAGGTTAATGTCTATGTTTTTTAATAATATTTTACTCAATTTAATTAAAAAATAAGTCGCTTGTATGTTTCGTGGACCCCACGTAGCATGTTGTCGTTCAATTTGTATTCAATTTTTTTGCATGGTAGTACCGGATGGTAAAACCAAAAAGTTGATTAATTTGTATAATTAAAGCATTCCATTTAATTTAATTAAAAACAAGAACAATGACTGGTCTTTAGCTTGGTTCACTCACAAGTCATAAAAAAGATGAGATGATGTGTATCCTTGAAATTAACACGCCAACTAGAAAAAAATATTTTGGATTTTTTAATTAATTTTTAAAAATTAAAGGGAAAGTCTCAACAATGCTGAAAAATTATTCTGAGAAAACAAAGACAAAATGGTATAAAAACTATACAATATATTTGGTTCCTCATAAAAATATTATTTGGAGACATGCTATGAATTTCTTTAAAATAAAATGTTAGGCCAAAAGTACAGAATATATTTTTTTTGGTGGGGAATTTATAAAAAATTCTTGAACAGTTCGATTGAGTTTTCAATTATATATTTTTTGGCCTACTACGGACTAAAATATATCATCGATTATTTGTTTAAATAGGGAATACTTCTTTTGTTTTTTTAAAACTCCACTTATGAATGCGAACTTTTAATTAGTGACAATAAGAAGGGTATGTTCTATTTAAAAAAAAAATGGTGGATGACGTCATATGTCAGACCGTAAGAGATTATAAGTATAAAAAATAAAAAACAAAGGATTTTTTTCCATACATTTCATGGAATTTTATTGCGTTTGACTAATTCTGCATATTTATAGAAAAAAGAAAAAGTGTATTATTTTCTAAAAATACAACTTAAAAAGTTATAAATTGTTAAGGGCAATAAAATTAGAATACAATAATAATTATTAAATCAAAAAATTGTTGATTATAAATACTTACAACGTAAAAAACATGAAGACAGACCAAAGAGAAAAATCGAGCAAATCAAAATAAAAGCAAACTCTGTAAACAAAAACTAACTGGAGAAACAAAATGAAGTAAGTAAATAAAAAGGTCATGGGTGGTATGTACTTAGTGGTTGTCGCGTCGAGAAAAATCAGGACGTTCCGCTTTGGTGCATTTTAATATAGGTCACTATACTATTTTGTTGCGATACTTCTTGAAATATGTCACTGTTTATGATATTTCCAGATTAATCAAAAATATTTAATTAAAGACAATACATATTAGCAATAAATGCAAGCAATAGAAAAAAGAGTTATAAAATAAAATTCTGTTTGGGAAATGACCCTGACACTGAGGAACTAGATTTCATGGTTACTCTTGGTTTAGCCTAAACCTTTCATTCTATACTTCTGTTTTAATCGGAGTTGCGGCACAATAAATCATAATTTTGCACGATTTGGAGTCAAAGGTCAAAAGCTTTCTCTTGGTCGTGAAAAAGCGTTTAAGTAATTCGCCGGTCAACATTCCGATGTTATTTTCTTTTGCGATTAAAACTTTTCCAACACTTGACTTGTTCCGCAATTACCAAATCAAAAACAATGTTTCTTATCGTTTTATTAGGAGGTTACTTGTTTTCGCGTCAAACATGTGCCACGTCAAATTTAAAAAAAATTGCGCATACGTGAAAAGTGTTAATAAAAATAGTAGTTTTCAAACGAGCGCTTGAAGAAAAACCAATTCGCTCTGGAAAGTGCGTCCTTTAACCTACTTAGAGGCGTCCTCGGCTTTGCCTCGTTTTTTCGCGATTCCGTCTAGCCGATGCACCTTGTGCCGTTTAGCCGATTTTAAGTCACTTACTTGCACCGAAAAACTTTCCACCCCAAGTCCACTTAAGTCAGATGTGTCCGAACTGCTTTCACGAGCTACTCGCAACCAACTTTGCCACTAGACTGAGCTAAACCGACTGGAAAGCACATGAGAATTGTTCGGTTTGCACCATAGAAGCAGATTTTTTTGTTAATTCAGCGAGGTTCATATCACGTGACCGATTAATTCGCTTACGAGTTGGCTTTTATGTGTTATTATGTTGTCAACGCCAAAATTTTCGGACAATTCGTACAGGAATTTCAATTATTGGGATTGATGGTGATGGTTCTTGGTAGAGATTGGATCTTTCTGAATAAAAGTGCTTGTGGTCAGTAACACGTGCCGTTATCTCAAACACTTAATGGAAATTTGATTGAATTTACATTGTCCAGGAAACGTAAGAAATTTCGTTTTTGCTACCTCTTTGTTCATGACTTAAGTCACTTCGTATATTTGTTGTAATTGATGGGTAGGTAATTACAGATTTCTTACGTCAAAAACCTGTTATTTTGATGTAGCTTCTCCAAAAAGTCCCTCATAAATCTACACACACATCATGGATTAAAAATTTAAACAATCTAGTCCACTAGAAAAGGAGTTAATGGAAATTTTTGCTCGACTTTGATATACATATATTGGAGTTTGCTTTGGTTCTGGGATGTTGCAGTGAGTCAAGTGATTGGAATTTAAAATTTAGTATAAAATCGTTACGTCTTTGTAATTACAACTTCCTCACGATAAGAAACTTGTAATTTTGTATGACGTCGGATCTGAGTTGTTTGCGAAGTTGATCATATGACTGAAAAATCAAAATGTTAATTTAACAAGATACAAGAATGATAATAAAAATTTATTGACTGAAAAGGAATAAAATAAATATAACACGAGATGTTTTTAAATAATGTCATAAAGATTAACATTTATTAAAATAATTTAAATTTAAAATAGTTTTAAGGAATTGCTACTGGTAAAAACAATGTAGCAATAAACATCAGCGTAACATATTAGGTAAGTATTTATGATTATCTTAATTGAAAAGTTTAATAGGTGTTCTTTTATTTAAAAAAAAATATAACGTCACACCACAGCTTCCTCATTTGTAAATTTAAGTTAAATGAAGTAGGTATACTATATAAAAAAAATAAAAAATATCTTCTTCAGATTGTCTTCGATCTTTTTCGTAACTCAAAAATTTCCCCTCAAACTAATTTAAAGGTTTTCTATGCAGAAATTTAAAGAACTGAAAATAGCAATTTTATATGACCAAAATAACATTTACGCAAAACCGGAGCAAAATACACTTTTTGGGTCACCTGCTGTTGAAACTCTTTCCGGTTAAAACACTTATGTAGAAGTGTGTATCACCAAAAGTACATTCAATTCAAAATTTATGACTTTGTCTCTGTAAGTAACAATGTTGTCTCCGACATCTTTGTCCTCTCAAAATTCGTGGAATATTTTATCCAAATATAAACTACTGTTTGATGGACCATAAAAACCACAAAGAAATAGACAATTAGTTTTTTCCTGTCGTTTTATTGTCATTACATGCCATCAAATGGTAACCATTTGAATACAAAAATTGAACAATTTAAGGTTTTTGTATTTCCAGAGTATTGTAGAATTAATTTCTACAGATTTTGCTAGACTGTTTGGTGGCGTTTTCAAGTTAGACTTTGTACTTTTTATTGCTTTTTAATTTCCTGACTTAGATCAAGATTCAACTGGAAAATATCCACGTGACTTGTTATGCTAATTGATTTTTTATGGCTATTGTACTAGAAGTTTTGGAAGTTTTTCGTTTGAATATTTTATATTATAAGAGCAAAGAGCAAAATCTGACCTTCTCGGAATTAACTGTAACGTGAAGAAATAAATAAAAAAAATCATATAATTTATTTTTAATATTTAATACAATAAATATGTGGTACAAAAACAATGTTACACATTTATAAATAAATTGCAAAAGTCAGTTTAGCATAATTAGAAGAAAAATACTAAAATAAAATTATGCAAGAAATAAAAAAGTCAACAACGTGACCTCTTAAAGGCACAGACCATAACAAACATGTTTGCCAAAAAGATATAAATTAAATAGAAGAAAAAAGTTTATGGCCCCAATGAATTATTAATAAATTCTTTTCATTTTTTTGCATATCAGTGGTCGGATATAAACACTAAATAGGGTCTAACTGTAAAATTACATAAGAGGCTTCAAAATGGCCCCTTGGGGAATTCTTTAAACTTCCATGTTGTTTATTCAGACGTTACACTACAATAATTCCTAAAAATCTGACACTGAAATTTGCAAAAAACAATTTCGGCCAGTCATCTAATGAAAAACATCACTTGAAGTAGGTATCCCATGAGCGCATCAATGGTCGGAACCAATAAACCAAGGTGAATGTTACGGTCACCATTAAAATAGTCTATAAAATTTTCCGACCTTGATTATGTAATTTGCCCAATTGGGCCGGTTTGGAAATTGACCACAATGATTGGAATTGCATGGTGAAAGGATAATTCCTTGCAATTTTCTGCATGAAATTCGCCGAGTCCCTGGTAAGGCCGTTATGGTGACAGCGTCCATTTCTTCCGGATGAAAAGTAAAAGGACGATTCAGAGTTAATGACAAAGATTTACTCAGCTATTTGAATACAATACTTGGGGTTATGTAATGGTATTACGTAATGGTGGTTGATTGAATTTCGCGTTTTTGCTCTGAGTTTTCGATTGGTTGACTAATACCCAATTATTTTGCTAAACGGTTTTTATTACCGGCTTATTAATTTTTTGTGAGGAAATAACAACTCTAAATTTGGTACTGTGGAGATTTCAACGCAGATTGGGGACTGGAAACCAGTGCATTCACCTCGAAGTGCATTTGCAAATTCATCATTAAATAAATCAAAATAATATATACCTAAATGTATTTCTGGTTGTCGCAACCTTAGAAGTATATTTTTTATTATTTTAATACACGTTTTAAAATTTAAAAATCATCATCGCTGTTATCGTTCAATTTATTTCCAGCCGGTTTTCCCGATTGTACTCTTTTAGCCATCTCCATCCCCGACAATTCCAACCCCAAGGACTCATCATCCGATTGAATCAACTCCGACTCGTCTTTATCAATAAACAGTTCGTCATCTTCCGAATCCGAGCTCAAAGACGGCGTTGCTGACATCGGTGGTTGCATTCCACCATAAACTTTAGCCGTTTTTGCAGTTCTCGACCTCCCTGAAAATCGTTTTATAAATCATTTTATAACTTACAAACCCACCCCCAGTGCTCGCCCTTGGCCTTTCTTGTTTTTGTCTCGTCTCGCTCTCTTCCAACTCCAAAAATGCCTCAGTTCCGCCCTCCAACGGAATAGTTTCGATTCTAGGCGAAACCATTTGGAGTTGTTTTTCTAATTGTTGGCGCTCTGTTTCGGTTACTAGCCGTTCTAGTTGGTTCAGAATGCGCACTCTGGTGGAGTATTGGACAAACAATTGTTCGAGTTCGGCCTCAAGAGCGGTAAACTCTTCCATAAAGGCCGGTCTGACTTTTTTTAACGTTTGGAGGCGTTTCTCGTAACGGTCAATTTCGACTTTTCTGCGTTCGATTTTGTTGTCCAAGCTCGCTTCAGTTGCGGAGACATTATCGATGAGTTGCCTACTTTCATCAATTTCGGTTTTAAGGGCTTCTATTGCTTTTTTAATTCCGGATTCGACTTCGTTGAGTTCGTATTGGCGGCCAACACTTTTGTGTCTCGCGGCCTATAAAGTCAAAATTAAAATGAAAATCGTAAAATAGTCTTTCATTACCCTCAATTCCACTTCTTTACCCAACAAATCGAAAAGTGTGGCACCCGTAGTTGTTATTTCACTTGCCAATTGTCTCGACAATTTTAATTCGTTTATCTGCAAAACAATACATGGGGTTCGGTCCAAGTCACCCCAGCCGATAACACCTAAACTTACTTTTTTTTTCAAAAACTAAATTTTCAAATAATACTATTCATTCCTGGCTTTCTTAGTAAATGCATCAACTTTTTTTGGCACATCCGGTGTAGCCGGAAATGTTACCAAATTTAGTTTTTCAACTGGAACACCTATGTTTTTTTGCTCGAAACAATAATAATTGGTATGAAAAATACGGTGAACAACTATTTATTACATTTTACTTTACATAATGCACTCAGAAAACAATTTAAATTTTTGAATTTTATTGCCAATTTTGCAACGTAGGCGGATTTTACTTGTCAAGGTAAACAAAAACACAATTAGCCCGTCACACCAAACTTTTATTTTAATGCACAACGCGTTTCAACCACAAAGTGGTCATCCTCAGGTGAGGTCAAGGTCAAGGTATTCATGCAAAAAGCAATATGCTTGGATACCGTTTTGTTGTTATTTTGACAAAGCCTAATTTGTCAAAAAATCTTATTGAGATCTTTAATAATAGATGATATTAATTACGACAAATTGGTAGATCAGCTTAAAGTGTTTTTCAAGTGCAATAAAAAAAGGAGCGGAAGCCAAAAGACAGTATAGAGAAAAATACCCAAATCATTGGATATTTAGTCGAATTGAAAAACAAATGAGACAAACAGGTTCGCTTCTTAAAACTAAAAAACCTGTGCTTCTTAATGAGGAACAAGAAAATAGAAATCTGAATGTTTTGTTATCAGTCGAAGAAAATCTAAGTGTTTTCATAAGAGAACTCGCTCATCAACTGACAAAGTAGATTTGTCAAACCAGCAATTTAACTGTATCCAAGCATTTTTTTATGCACACCTTTCCTTTAAAATTAAAAATTAGGCTACAGGACCAATTTCCTTATAAAATTCTAAGATTTGAAATGTTTTTTGATTGCATTGTGTTACGCAAAATGTAATAAATAGTGGTTTACCGTATTTTTCATGCCAATTATTATTGTTTCGATGAAAAAAACATAGGTGTTCTATTTGAAAAACTAAATTTGGTAGCATTTCCGGCAACACCGGATGTGCTAAAAAATTTGATACATTTATTAAGAAAGCCAAGAATTAATATTATTACTTAAATATTTACTTTTTGAAAAAAAGAAGTAAGTGTAGGTGCGACTTGGACCGAACAGCCTGTATGTATCAGTGGTGCATTGAGAGGGGGGCTTAGGGGTTAACCTTTTTACTTTTTTTATTTTGTAAATTGCGGCAAAACTGTACCTTAAACGTTATAATGTTTTTATGCATACATATGTAAAATGTTTCGAGAAATCGATTGACGTCGCGAAAACTGCAAAATTCTTGATCGTTTAAAAGTTATAGTTAAATTAATATTTTGGATATTTTTGACTTTATCAGCAATTTTCTCAATAACTATTTTTACCGTAGTTATTAGGAATAAACCGCTCCGGTTACCGAAAATCGACCAAAATTTCGACAAAAATCGAAAAAAATAAAAATTTTAAAACTGAACCATTATTCGTGCATTGTAACCCCCTTTAAACTATCTCTGGCTGCGCCACTTGTGTGTATAGTTGGTTGCCCGGCCGTAACACATGTGATTACCTTATCAGTTAAATCAAAATCTTTCAAACTTAACATTTCTTCTTCAAAATGTTCATCTTCCTTATCTTCCAAATTCATATTCAAAGCTTCATACAAGAGGGAGGTTATTTTTAACAATTCTTTGACAGCGTAACCATCAGCTTGATACAACCTTTTTGTATTCAACCTGATGTTGGCTTTGAGGGCCATAAATTGTGCCGCGTTTCGAATCAGGTTTACTCGATCATCTTCAGTATCAATCTCTGATGGTATATCGACGTCGGGGTCGAAACGTTTTGATAACCAAACCAATAAATCAGCAACAAGAGGAAAATTAGGTGTGCGAAAACTTTCCATTGAAATTAATGATGGGTAGCCTAAAGCTCGCATCATTTCAAGAAAATCTACAAGAAATAATCAGTATTGAAACATATTTTTAGCAGAAACTTACTTCGTACGTCTCTGAATGACATTTTTGTATCTTTTGTTTTTATTTAACGGTTGCTTAGTAACGTGTTACGCATGGCTGGGAAAAAGGGGGATGATCAGAGTAGGCATCGATTAATAAAATAACTTTATTACACCAAAATAATAAATACAAAAATTAATAAATAACACATATCACCCATCATGGCAGTATTTTAGCCGGTACTTTAAAAAAATCCAGTCGAAAATTTTTCGAAACAATTAAATTAAATTAAAACTAAGTCAGGTCAAGTCATGTCTCAGGTACTGTCAAGTTGCGTCTAAGAAAAGGTCTGGGAAGTTCACTGGAGCAGGAAATGTTTAGATTGACATCAGGAAGTACCATTATGTCTAGTTCCTCTTCCGTGGCGTTGTAAACCAGCCATTTTGAGTCTCCCGGTAGTACCTCTAGGTCTACTAGCCTTACTTCATCATTGGTACCACCTTCTTCAAGTTCTAAATCCCCTTCACGTTGTGAAACATGTAATTGAACAGTTGCTCCGCTCGGATCTAAATATTCCTGCCCTTTCACACTTGAAATTTTCACAAATTTAGTACCACCGGACTGCTTTTTGGGAGTGTAGAAGTCTATTTTGTCGTGTTCGTCATTAGTCGAGAGTTTTTCCACATGACCTGTCGCGTATTGTTTAAAAGGTCGTGGCAAATCGTCTTGGTCCCCAAAATTAGAAGAACTCGAGTAGACATCGCTGTAAAGTCTGTCGAAAACATCGTCTTGGGGTCGCCGTTTCGAATAAACGTAGTTGTTTGAGTAAATGTAAGGTCTTTTTGAGGTTGTAAAAGGCTGGTCTTCGTATTTACTTTGGTAGTAATTTTGAGGTCGAAAAACTGAGTAGTCGTCACTGTAAAAGTTTTGTTTGGTCGTCGTGTCGTAAGTATCAAGTGGGCGTCGGGTACGTCTGGTCGGTTTAGGAGTTGTTGGGGGATAGTACTGAATTTTAATATTGACTTGGAACGGTTTTGGAGTTGGAATAGGAGTTGTCGATTCGCCTACAACTCCAAATAAGTAAGTCACGTCAGGTCTAGTCGTCCGTCTGTCATTGTAACTGTCAAAAGTCGGTCGTTGAGGTATGTCATTTGGTATGTTACCGTAATTGTTAGTGTAAGTCTGTTTTGTCTGTACTTTAACCGTGTGAGTTGTCGTGTTGTAAACTTTGACCTTGACGGGAGTTGCAACTTTAGGTTTTTTGGTAGTACGTTTCAACTTCCGTCTCTTCTTCCCTTGTCTTCGCACCTCATTCAAATCCTCTTCAATCCAAGGTGACAAGTCGAAATTGTCAAGCACAGGATTGTCACATGACAATCGGGAGTTGCGAAAACTATCAACTGTCAGAAAAACAAAAGGTTGGATAGTTTCAATCTCTGTCAAAGTTTGACAAAGTACATGGGCAAGGGTCACGTGACGGATCTGTTGGAGTTGCGCAGGAGTGAAACTCGATTCAAATCCGCCATTTTCATACCAGAATCGGTCACCTTTCCGCAAATTTAGGAACTGTTGGGCAATGATACACGCAAAAGTGGGGCCAACGATGCCTCCTCGGACCGGTTTCTCGGCTAAACCCCCCGAAAACAAATCGATGTCGTCGATATGTTCGTAAAGACTTTCGAAACGGTGGACTGTGTCCGGGTTCATAATTTTTTCCAAATCTTTCCACGATTTAATAGGGCTTAAACCGCACGGTTCACGCCAAGAAGTATATGGGGGAAGACCATGGTCGCGCCCCCTTTGAATATTAATAGCGGCGAGGTCCATTCCGAAGGGGAATCCCCGGGATTGAAACAAATGGTTCGTGAGTTCCTCGCAAATGAACTCATCACGTCTTTGCGACGGTTGGTTGCAAAAGCCGAGCAAAAGCCGGTCTAATGATCCCAAACTCCAGATGTTTTCCACGTTTTCTTGCTCCTCATGGAGGGTCACATCTACAATTTTTTACTTAATTCCTAAAAATTAGTAATTTATTGGGCACTTACTATTAAAGAGTGGCCGGTGCTTGGTATCAAACCTAACAAAAGAATTTTGTACCATACTGTGCCCAAACCGGAAAGCTGCACTCCCAAAGGCATTTGCAACTTCTGGATTAACCCGATCGTCATAACTGGAGTAATACCCTTTTCGTTCCAACTTCAACTCAAACAAATCAACAACTTCCGGACCTAGAACAATGGGAAGGAACTCCCGGTACGTCACATGTTGGATAATCGCAACCACGATTCTTCTCGTCTCTTGATACACTTTTTCGTCACTCCAGTGCGGGTTGATTTGCCCCAAAACCGTTGCTAATCGATTGTGGTACCTCAGAAACACAGTATGGAGGGCTGTAAGCCCCGGCTGTTCGCTGAGTCGGCCATCACCCCCTTGGAGACAGTCACTAGTGACGGCTCCTGATCGGCAGAGTTCCCCGCCTGGAGGATCAGGGGGTTGGAGAGGTTCGCGCCCTTGTGGACGGCCATAGTGAAGTTTCCCTTTGCGAAAAACGCGCATTGAGTCGGATGTTTCGATGTCACTGCCGTAAATAGGGGAAGCGTCGAGGTATGAAGTGACTTGGTTGATTTGCTCGCGCCAACCTAGATCACAGTCAATGCGGGTAGAAGGAGCACTTCGGATGAATTCAATGCAGCGGAGGCCGAAAGGGGAGAGGAACCAGTCGTCGGGGGATACTTCGATTGGCAGGCAACTTGGGTGCTAAAAAGGGTTTCACAAAATTATCAAGTTGACAAAATTAACAAAAAAGGGATTTCTGATTGAACTAATTATTTCCTAAAAAAACATTTTCTTATCTATTGGATAAAGTTTTTGAATAAATTCTAAAATCAAGTTTACTCCAAAGTTATGTTACTCTAATTACACTAGTCAACAAGCATTTGTGACTGAGAAGAAAACAGTTATTTTTTGTTCAATTCTATGTGCTAAACTCAAAAATGATAAAGAAAATTTCATAGCACGTCAGATTTTAAAATTAGGCATTTTGAGATATCATATATAAGTATGTTCGACAAAATCGCCGAAAAACCAAACAGTTAAAATTCATTTTTTCCATTCTCATTAAAAAAAAAAAATTCCCCAAATTTGGGTGCCATTAGTGACGAGGGGAAAGGTTCCACCAGGATATATTGACGATGGAAAAGAGGTACCAAGGGAGATGGGGGATTACTGCTGGTTCCCGATAAGAGAAGTTAAAACACCCTACAAAAGAAAGTCAGTTTTTGCAAAAAACTCATCTACAACAGATTTATGTTAGAATCTTATACATCTTTCAACATTGTTTTTGTTTAGTAAATAAATTAATTTCTTTCGTCGTCTATTTAATTAATTTCTATTTGAAATGAACAATTTTTACGATAAAATTTGAGAAAACTATTTTCCTGTAACTTAAAATCTGTACGTGATGGAGAATTTTTCTTATCAAATTCGTAATTAGGGATGTTAATGTACCCTGATCCACGTGTCAATAGATCAATCACATTAAAAAAAATTTGTTGGGTAATGTTACCTAAGAATTCTATAAGTCTGTGAAGTTACTTATATGTTTTTTTTTTATAATAAGAACATCGTATCATTCTTTTTGTAGGAATATATCAGGCTAGCTTGAATAAAACATAAATATTTTACCGTGAGCTCTGGTGGGAGAAGGGCTTGTCCTCCTCTGTGGCAGCACCTGGGAACCGTCCCATTGAAGCTTCGCGATTTGACAGTTGACACCAGATCGTGGTCGATCAGTTGCCCCCATTGCATAAACATGAGACTGACCGTTGGTACTTCAAAATTCTTGTCGCGGTGGATCCTGGTACTGATTTCCCTAGCAGATGGTAACTTGTTTCCGAAAACGGACCGGCGAGGTGCTTGGATGCCGTCTTCGTAGACCGGTTGTAGGAACCTTTGCATGGGTAGTAGCGAAGAACCTCTCCATGGTTTATTAAAGTTGTTGCAGGTACCATCGGCTGTTCGGTACCTTCGGGAGGCCGCAGGACACCTAGGGGTGCCCCTCAATGGACACACATCCTCCCGGAGTCTCGTGTCGAAACTGCCGGCGGCTTGTCGACTCACATTTTCCGGATAACTGAAATCGGGAACATTCAGTTTCTCGTTCCACTGACCGAGTCGTGTTTGAGACTGGACCGGGTTGTAGAAAATCGTTTAATAAAAGTGTCCCAGTCCCCACCCGGTGTAGAAATCAGTCCCACTCCCAAGGAAGAGTTTATCAGGAAGACGCTTTCTTTTCTTTCTTTACAAGGAACTCGCGGGATTTACATAATGATGGGTGGATTTCTGGGGCGATTAAACGGTTTACCATAAACGATCCGATTTGGTTTGGTTACGGTAGTTCGGTAAAGATCCATATTCATTATATCACCAAATTGGATTTTTCCGGTCTGATTACTTACGTTTCTGCAAGTCGTTTAGTGGCTTCCAGGGAGGCGTAACCGAAATTTGACAAGTCGATAGCTTTTTTGATAGGGGCTCCAAAATTCGCAACGTGGTGAGCCGGCTCTTTTGCATCCAAATACAAGCCTGCAATCGATTTTGGTAAATCACAGTGAAAGTGACACACTTCCAGTGGACTTGTTTACAAATTTTGATTAGAAGTGGTTTTGTTTTGTGATGAAAGTGGGTTCTTCTTTAAACAAAATCTATGGAAAATGCTGATTTCTAATCTAATGTGAAAATATGAAATTCTTTTAAATTGCTTTTGTTTTAGTAAAATTAATTAATAAACAAACTAATACGATATAGTAGGAAATGTCTGGGATTTTTTTCCGGAAACAAAGTTAATGTAAATTTCTCCAAGGGAAAATGAGGCAATTTTTGTTATTTTTGGTTCTGTTCTTTGTTTTCAAAATCCTATTATAATTCATAGGTTCATTCTGTGAATAAATGAAAGTAACCTTTTGTTTACATGATTAGTTGGTTATAAATGTACAGGAAAAACTTGCAGTCAACAATGAGTAATTTAATTAATATTTTCCTTGTTTGTAATGTTGAAAGAGAAATTTTCCTGAGTAAACATCCGAGAGTGTTGATACCATCTGCCCATCACCGAATTTGCAACTTACCCATTTTGTACCATTTCGGTTCTTTGACCTCGATAAGTTCTTGCATGGCCCTGATCCCATAGTCGACCGCATCATCCAACTCCCTCTTATCAATTTTGTAGTAGCTTTCACTCTTGCTATTATCATCGCTTTCGTTTTCCTTAACTGCGTCGTTCTTTTCGAAATAGTCGCTTTCTTTCCTTTTGGTCAAGTTATGTGGGTCGTCGTTAGTCCATTGGTCGTGTGGTAATGTCGTTGTCAGTAAAACGTCCGTGAGTATCATCGTCCATAGCGCAATTCTGGAACCAAAAATGGGAAGTTGGACAAATGTCGAAATTTTACCATTTTGTACCTCATTTTAACACACACGGATGTCAAGTTAAAAACTGAACGGAGATCTCGAGGATCGAGAGAGTCGTATTGAGGAATACAGTTATAATTGTTAATTTATATACCTCGAGGACGTTTTGGTCTTTTTTGCAAAGCCGCTTTTCGGAGTATCACGAACAACGGCATGTGTGAAAGAGGTTTGGTTCTAACAACGATGGGTCTTAATGATGCTGACTTGGAACTTTGTTTACAAGTGCTAAGATCTAGTACATTTGAAAGAAAAGTACTTATTGCAGGTGTTGAGGTGCACTTTTTTATTATTTAATTTTTTTTCTAATGTTGGCAATCAGATTTTTCGATGCCAAAGCAACACTTAACTTTTATTTGCTAGTTAACATTTCTGACAAAAAACTGAATGAACCTCGACCTAAAAAAAGAAAAAAAGAACACAAATAAACGTAAAAACTACAACTTGTAAAACCTAGAAGTAACCAAACTCAATTCTAAAAGTTGAGAAGGATTTGTGAATACAACTCTTCAACTTTTGTATAATAAATAAAGTCGACTTGTATCTAAAAAGTGAGGAAATATGAAGAAAGAAGGACTAATTAATTGAACAAGGTGTTTTAAAAATTTAAAACGGTACATTAATAGCATTAATGGAAGACGCAAAAAAATATCTAGCAATAATGCTGACAGCTGTCCACTTGAAAAAAATTAATGTAGTTTACTTTACATCCTTTAATTATACATAGATGGGATGTGATATTAGCTCATCTGAAGATTGCATATAAAATTGCCTCAGAAAGAATGCACCTTCGATGCATGGTAATAAATAAAAAAGTCGTTTAATGTTAATGGTCATCCCGCATTTAATCTTGCGATTTGAAAGTGTCAGTCCGTGCACCACTCATGTAATAATAATAGAAAGGCATAATTTTCTTGAAAGTCACGGTTGCATCCATCATCGAGTTGCATTTAGAAAGTTCAAGACTAAATTTTTACAAGGGTGTCGTATTTAAGGTCAGTTTCTCGAAATCAAGGTTAATATCTCAAGTGGACAAGTGCAAAAGAAAGTTGTACCCATCGAAGAGAAAGCAAAATCGCATTAGAAATCGCCGGATAAATACAATAATCACCCAAACTCACTTTAAATTCGTTTATTCTCCTTGGCCGCCTTCTCCTCCTGCTTCAATCTGCTGATGGCATGCACGGAGCCGAAGAGGACTTTAGCGGTGACTTGGATGTTGCGCTGTTTGTTGCTTTCAGGATGGTTCCTGTCGCTTATGCTGCCTGTTATTGGAGCTGGATAAGTGTTATTGTTCGCGTCTCGCAACGTGCATGACTTACAGTTTTCGGGCATCTTCATTGGATGTTCGGTTAGCTGAAATGAGCGCTTTTTCAGATAGATTAACGTTTTTTCAGGCGTAATCGCACTTCCGCGCAATTACAGAAATTACATGACCCGAATCCGAGAGAGATGTGCTTCTAATTTAGGTTTGAGAGGCAGCGACATTTTTTGAATTTTTTTACAAAAAAATTATAAGAAATAACAAGGACGTACTTGAATGGAAACAAACGCTCCATTAATTTTCCTCGCTCTTAATAAGAATGACAACCTTTATTATAGTTGAGAATTTTCTAAACGGTAAAGAAGAATTTATTCCGCTTCTTAAAAGTTATCAATTATCTTTTCATTGTTTATTTATTTTATTTTAGTAGGGTAATTAGTGTACGTTTCCAAATGAATATTGGATTGTTCACTGTTCTACTTTTGATATATTTGAATTTTATCTACGAAAATTATCACCTTCGAACATTTTGCTTAGTTATTATTTTATAACAGACCATGAAGTTTGTTTTCTAATTTAATTCAATTAATTAAAAAAAAATAGAGGTTCTTCGGATATCTAGTATAATAAATAATCTAAAATTGGTTTGTTCCATTTTTGCCAATACCAAATAAATAAAAAAGATGAATAACTTTCACTAATTTTTTAAGATTCTGAAACTTTGTTTTATAATTTCAACAATAATAACACAATAGAAGAACACAATGGCCAATTTATTGATACTTCATATACCCGGATTTTTTCCTTTAAGCTAGTATCTAAATGAATTTTCAAAAGCGTTTGCTAGTTAATTGTAGTGCTTAGATATAAATGTCCGATTAATACACGAGTTAATTAAGATTAAAAAATGGATATAAAATGAAAAAAGAAAAAAAATCTTTATTGTGTAAAAAAATTAAAAAAAGAAATTAATTTTTTATTATTTCTTATTTCTATTTTGGTATTTTTTCACCTATTAAACTCATCTTTGGAATTCAATTGAAAGTTCTAAATTTGTGTTTGTTTCTTATAACGGGCCCAGTTGCACTTTTCAAAAACTTGCCTTTTACACAGCTTTGCAACATAAACCTGAAATATCTTACAATCATTCTACTTTTCAGACGTGTTTATTTTATGCACAGTTAATTTTTATTCCACTTTGTCATAATTAAGTCTTAATTATTGATCACCAACTGTCTTGAAAGGTTGCAACATTTTGGAATTTCAGTATGTCAACCGTTATTTTCCTATTAAAAAAACCAAATTCAAATTATCAAGACTGAGAATTAAATTTATTTTCTAAAGGCAATGATTTGTAACAATTGCTATCAATATTCGAAAGTCTAGAATGACCATCGCGTTTTATTAGGTGTGTCTGTAGTACATCATAACTTTCCTAAATAATAAACTAGATAAAAATGTTACCAAATAATTGCAAAACTGAGAAGCCAGAAAAAAATGGTTCAAAAATTAACAATGATGGTACTCACCTTTTGTTAGTACTTAATAACCACAGCAAGCATAGCAAGAGCACGAAATGTGTAACAGGATAGCCAGTATCTGAGTAGAATGAGGCGGGTACTACCGACACACTGACTGAATGAACTGGTACCAGCGTGTACAACGTCTAGTCTGCGATATTTCGAATACACTCAATCACCTGCGGTTCCATTCTTCGGATTTGCTTAGGCACTCTCTATTTTGTGGCCAGAGGTGAAAGGTTCAGACGCGAGGTACCACCGCGTCGAAAAAAATCACTTTGAAAGTAAAAATAGAGACCCTCTGGAAATATCGACACACTTAAACGAAAGTAGTACCTGAAAATCGAGAAAAATTTCCGCGGATCGCATCCATCTGGGTCACGGGGTTAGCCGGTGTTGGGTCACTACTCCCACCGGTTAATGATTGTACACTCGTTCTAGGCGGAATTATTAAGACGGCTACTGGGCAAGAGACGGTGACGTCGTCTGTGACCAATCTAACTGGGCTACTGGTTATGGTTCATGGACTATACCGGGTCCAGCAAAAAAGTAACAACGGTCTTCAAACGATTTTTGGCAGAGGAAACGGTACCAAATTGGGTTTTTACAACTGAAGAGTACCGTAGTACCAGAGAATTAGAAGATAGGATTTGAGCAATGCTCTTGCTGGGCAAAGATCAGTTTTTTATAATAAAATAAAGATTTCACTGTACTCAAGAGAGGACGTTATAAAAATTGTTGCTTTTTAGTAAAATTGTTTTTAAATTATGATTAAAGCACCAAGACAAAGATTATTTAGATGTACCGCCAACGAAAAGTACCTACTCATCATACACTCAAAATATATTGCTAAAACTGTAATTACTTATTATATTTATTTTCAAGTAATTATTTTGTTTTATTATTCCAGTGTCTAGTACTTTTTTCAAATTTATTATAAATTTCCATAGGTATGTTTTTTTTTTATATTTCTTTTTCAATAGATTCTTACTAATATTGTTACGTTTTATGACTTCAATGTCACAATTTTTTTATTTTGAAGAGCTTGCGTTTTTTGAATAGATTCGACCGTACTCGTATCCTAGATGTGGGCGTATTTTAATCTCCGTGTCTTTGATTTTCTTGTTTCAAAGCTTCTAATCCATTTATTTAGTATCCGGAAGATTTTGTCGGGGTTCAATATCGTGTGCGTCAGACCAAACACTTCCATTGATCCAATTTCGGAAACCGATTTGTTTCAAAGAAAGGGAATTACTTTGCATCAAGGGATAAAACAAACACGATTTTTCTTTTATTGAAGTTTATTATCTCAAGTATTACCACATTACATATTTAAAATTACAAGGTTTAATTGAAGTATCTTTTACTAATATTAATTTCTTTTCATATAAATAAAAAGGAAACTTTGAAGAATCCCAACCAACAATACGACACGTCTTCCCTTGGAAATTAGTGCAGGAGTAAAGAAGTCAAATCCTTTCGATAATACTTAGAGTTAAGAAATTAGTCTATTAGATAACAATTATTAAGACATTAGTGTTACAACTTTTTTCTAAGTGAAGAGTGATATTTTTGTGGGGAGGTAATTATTGAACGCACTGCTTTGATTATTAGGTGTCATACATTAATAGAACCTATACTAATTTAAATATTAAGTTTGATTATCATAATATATTTTTTAACTACGGGTTCTATTATTATTAATTTAAATTTGATAATATTACTTTAAAAAACACATGACGTGTTTAACTTTTAGTCTAATTTTAGTTATATTCATTAAAACTAGTCCAGCTGACTGGAATAGATTACAACATTTAAAAATTCAATTGTCCCGCGTTACACACAACGCATCTCGGGAAGACATCGGGGAACTAAATAAAGCTAAAGCTCATAAAAGTTAAATGTTGAGTCATAGTCGAGATTTTAAAGTCATGACAGTCATCTATCTCTCTTAATGTTTAGTCAATCGTTTTTTAAATCGAGTTTTTAAAAATCTGGCTAGAATGAAGCATCACGTGACATTTCATTCTGGTCATGTGTTGTGTTATTATTTAAATGCGCTTTGGCGCAAAATTTAAAAAGTCACATTTACATTATACTGTCAGACTATTATCAGAATGGAGAGGTCAAAGTTGGAACAAACCACAGCCAAGTACAGATGGCAGTATTATCGAAGAGACCCGAAGATGGTAAACGGAAGTTGCTCTTTGTTTGTCTTCTTCAATAAAGTACCAGCCCATTTGATCCAAATTTGAGTTTTTTGAGCCAGGGAGTGTATCGCTTCGTTGGTTGTAAATATTCAAAATTTCGGTATTGACTAGACTAAGAATGTTAAGTCTAAATTTACAACTAGATTTATTTAAAATTAAGTCAACAAAAATAGGAATAACAACATCAGACTTAAATGAAATATAAAAGATCCAACAGACTGAAACGGAAAAGTGAGAATTGTTCTTTGTAAAAAACTGATTGTTTTTTATTTTTTGTGACCCCTCTTGGTTCGACAAAACCAAAAACCGGCCGTTCACACGAATCCAAATTTAATACACTTTTAAAATCTTACATATCGTACACAAAACTGTGAGTATGTTTAAACTACATAACAATAATGTTAACAATTCGCCTGGAAGGCTCGTGGAGTGTCCCATTTTCCGAAAAACATTCACAGACCTGATGACGCTTCGATTTTGGAAATTTTAAAAGTATAGAACAGTGTGGTTATCCCATCTAACATCAAACTGTTGAAATTAAGGTAGATGAACAGAAGCAATGGGAAAATCAATATGAACAAACTAATAAGCAGCTGCATGAAATTCTACATAATGACGCATTTCCCTTTTTCCGCCCATGGGTTGTTTTTCTTGTCGGGGGCGTGGATCAATGGGTCGTTCTTTTCATTCTCCTCCACGTATTCCCTCATCCTGCAACAAATTTTACATCAAAATCGAATCACGTACCCCGGATTCAATCAAAACCTGGTCAATTATTTCGCAATTATTTCCAAACCGATCGATAAATACACAAAAAGACCAGTGGCGGCTCCTTATTTAAAATACTAGAGTAGCTAATGTATTTTTCGTAAAATAAAAATCTCAAATTATGCAATAAAAAAATCATCTGCATTTGTGAAGACATTGAAAGCAACTTAACGAAACCAAATAAGATTATTTACTGTTTTTACTGTATAGTAAAATCGATAACTGCACCAGTAACCGGAGGGATTAGCGATCGAAGTAAGAAAAAAAAAGTCTTAGTCCAGATTTGTAGCAAAATAGAAAGGGGAAAGAATTTTCGAAAAGCTCAATCTCTTAAGTTAAGCTTTACATTTCCAATGACTCGTTCGAGTACCTCGACTCTTTGCTTAATTAGTCGACTTCAAGTTTCGTTACATTAAGCCCAAAAATCCCTGCCTGGAGACCCGCCAGATACACAGCAAACTTTAAAGATTTCTCAGACGACGCCGACTCACGTTATCGCAAAATCTGCACTTGATAAATTGCGAGCAAGTCCAAAATTGTTTCTCGCCAATATTTCACCTTTTTCTCCGGTAGTACGCGTTGAAAACTTGTTGGAAGTTGGTTAAAAAGTCGTGTACTGCGGATCGCCGAACTAATTTAACAAGTCAAAGTTGATTAACTCCTTCCATTAACCCGCGTCTTATTAAAATTTATAGATTTATTAAGTGTTGAAAGTTGGCAGTGACGCCCATTGTGTAAGCAGTAATGAGAAGAAAAATGATGATGCATGGCAGTGCATAAATGCAGATTTTTTAACCGAAATCTCGTGCCTATCAATCGGGGATTAATTAAATTGTCACGAGATAAATGCGCTCGTGTTTTATTAATCTCATTCGGATAATTAAAGGAAATTGTTAAGTCGGGAATGGTAGGTTGACTCTGGCTTGCAAAGGGCTAATTTTCTTAAGAGGCTATCTAATTTTAACGAATTATCTCAGTGGAATTTTTGCTGTACAAGACTTTATTACCTATTTATGTTCGTTTGAACTGAGTAATTTATCAGCAGTTGTCGCTGCAAATGATTGACGCTTCAGGTGGTGAAACACTAGCAAACGTTTGCCTTTGTTTGTGGCATTGCTTGCATAATTCGCTAATTTATTAGTATTGGCAGTAATCAAAGTTGAAAGCAGCGTCGCAATTATGATAGAAGAGTGTTAAGTAACTCTGGAGACTTGGAAGCGACAGAGAAAATTTATTCCGTAGTTCGAGTCGATAGGGAGAACGAAAACCGCTCAACTAATATAAATTTATAGCCCTACATTACTCAAGTAAATATTTTAAGAGGAAAAACAAGAGTCCCTCTATCATCATAAAAGTATCAATTTTTCTTTCCTCGACTCGTCCAAAAAACGAAAAAATTCAGATTTTCCTAGAGTAATCTTTTAAAACTTGATAAATAATTCATAGGGGAAGGAAGGGAGATAAACCGGCGGAAATTAACTGATAAAGTTTGCTATTTAAGCTACCTTTCATTTGAACATGATAGTCTTAGGGCGACATGTCCGACGTATCGATCAGAAGGGTGCTCTCCCCTTTTCATGCATCGTAAATATTTATTTGTGCGCTGCAGAAATAATCCTTGGGATCGAAAATCAATGCTGGGCTTTTTGAGTAAACCAAATTCGCTTTAAACGGAGGAGGATTTTCAGTAACCCGGAATGGTTTCAACGTCTGAAAAACCGGTAATTTACGGCTCGGTTAGTCTGAATTTATTTCGCTGTTCTAGCAAACTTAGTTTGTTAAATTTCCTCATCATATCCTGTTTTTTTAGGAGTGGCGACAAGCCATCTATTTCTTGTAAACAATGACATTACCCTTTAGAAGTTGTTGAGGTCTCCAACATAAAGCAAATACAGTCGCTTTAGTGACAGATTATTATGTTTTCAGTCGTAAAGATTACATCTCGTCTCTTGAGAAAATTAGATGTTTGCAAACCGGAATCAATACAAACATTTCCAACCAACAAGTCAACTATTTGCTATGCCAGTAGGACCGGACATGGGGGTGTTATTTGCATTTAGTTTGTTTATTCTTGCATCCACCGTGACGAATTCCAATTCAATATTAAATTATTTCAGATAAAGCACTCCCACTTTTCATATTTATAGCTTATCACATTCGAAAAAACACTCAACCGAATTATTTCCAATATCGT